AGCTGCACACCACATACTTAGGACCTCAGGCCTGCACACAGCTGCACACCACATACCCAGGACCTCAGGCCTGCACACAGCTGCACACCACATACCCAGGACCTCAGGCCTGCATTGAAGCTGCACACCACATACTTAGGACCTCAGGCCTGCAATGAGCTGCACACCACATACTCAGGACCTCAGGCCTGTACACAGCTGCACACCACATACCAAGGACCTCAGGCCTGCACTGAGCTGCACACCACATACTTAGGACCTCAGGCCTGTACACAGCTGCACACCACATACCCAGGACCTCAGGCCTGCACTGGGCTGCACACCACATACCCAGGACCTCAGGCCTGCACTGGGCTGCACACCACATACCCAGGACCTCAGGCCTGCACTGGCCTGCACACCACATCCAGAGTGCATCAAACTTTTGCACATGAACTATTTTGAAATGCTAAATAAATCTGTATACATTTGGAGGTTTAAAAAATGACTAATCAATACAGTCATTATAAATAATAGTAATAATGATTATAAACAATAATGGAAAAATGTAAAATACTAATAGTATCAGTTTGGAAGACTGGTCACCTACATTTTCTATTTGTTTATCTGAGCAATATACATATATGTATTTCCTTTTAATGAAAATTCATTAGATAAAACAATCTTTCATTTAGACTTTATTTCTAAAAATATTTATCATTCAGTAATTTTATTTCTTCATATCTCCTTTAGTTTTTAAAACATATAACTCATGCACCTGAATCATTTTATATAATTAAAAAAATTAAAATTGTGGTCAAAATAAAAAAACCAAAACCCCCCAAAAAATCAAACCCATAAAAAGTTACCATTTAAACCAGTTTTCTTTTCAAGACAAGGTTTCTCTGTGCAGGCCTGGCTCTCCTAGAACTTTTGTTATAGACCAGGTTGGCCTCGACTTCAGAGATCAGCCTGCCTTTGCCTTCTGAGTGCTGGGATTAAAGGCGTGAACCACCAGGCCCTGTCCATTTAAACCATTGTTAAGTATACAATTCAATGGCATTAACTATACTCACAATGTTGAAGTCAGGGTCACATACATGCCAATCAGACACCCTAACCACTAAGCTATGTTCCCAACTCCAAGAACTGGCTGGGCTGCTTTTCAAGACAGAGCCATGGTTTCACTCCAACCTCTTGAGTGGGGGATCACAGAAATATACCACCACACCTGCTTACATTTTCTTTCTTAAGTCTATTTTAAAGTCTACATACTTGTAAATTTTAAGCTCTATATGCAATTTACTTTGGTTATTTTATTTTATTTTTTGAGGCGGGCATTCCATTCATTTTATGAAAACAGTAAGAGAAGTCAGGTGTAGTATTGTACTCCTTTAATGCTAGCACTTGGGAGGCAGAGGATCTCTGTGAGTTCAAGGTTGGCCTGGAAATACAGTGAGTTCCAGGACAGGCAGAACTACAGAGCCACACAGTGAGACCTTGTCTTTGAAAAACTAACCAACCAACCAGTAAAAGTAAACAGGTAAGTGGGCCAATGAGAGAGCCCAGCCAGTAAAGGTCCTAGCAGAAAAGGCTGGTGACCTGGGTCCAATGTCACACACTAAGATGGAAAGAGAACCAACTCCAAATTTGTTCTGTGACCTCCCCATCTGTGCTGTGACGTGTTCGTCCATGTACACACACACACACAGACACACACAGTCAGACACACACACACACACACAGACACAGACACACAGACACACACACACACACACACACACACACACAGTCAGACACACACACACACACAGACACACACCCCATTGAAAACCCAAGAAAACAGAAAGTGAGGGCCTCCCTGACACGGAGGGGAGGGAGCAGTGAGATGGGATGGGTGTTAAATGTGCGGGGTGGAAAGAATGGACCAATCTGGGCAGTAGACAGCAGCAGAGTAGAGCAAACGCTTCATCAGTGAAGACAACTACTGGAGGGGCCACTCCCCCCCCCCCCCCCCCCGGGAGGGTGTTGGTGTGCTTTTCTTTTGTTCTGATGTTCATTCTTTAAAACCCACTGTGATGCCACAGGAATCTGACCCTACTAAATTACTTTAGAAACATTCAAATACACAGCTGAATGAAGTTCTCCTAACCTGTATAACCAGTTTCTTTAGTCAATTATATCAAACAATTGCCTTGACTTTGTTTCCACAGAACTGACCCTGGCTGAACAACCTCAACTGACAAGTGGCTTTGCCTTTCAAAGTGCAGCCTGTCTTCTGCCGGTGTCTGTGGGGTGGGCGGGCAAAGGTGGAGGGCAGGCCGGCCATTTACAAACTGCAGGAAAACTCGGTCGAGAAGGAGCAGTCTCAAACTTACCAAATCTAACTTTAATTGCTCAGAGTACAGCACCATCCTACACATTTTAGTCACTTTGCTTTTCACAACAGCAACTTGATTTTAAAATAGCAACATGAGCCAAAAGCCTTACACATATCAAGTTTACATGCTGGGACTTCCTCACATTCATGAAAACTGCAACATTACTGTCTTCAGGGTATATTTCTTTATAAATGTGTGTAGGATTTTAGTCTCCTCTTGCTTTCTCTAGGGCCTCATGGATACTTGTCCATACTACCTTTCAGTGGCAGGCAAGTTCACTCCCGATAGTACAACCCCACCCTCTCCACCACAATCTATTTTCACTCCCCAGGGGAGAAGAATACAATTGTCAATAAAAAGTGTTGATATTTTTATTTGTGAAAAAGTTAATTGAACAGAATTTAATTCCTCTGATTAAAAAAGGATTTCCCCAATACAGCTTTAAGGCCTTTTTCTAGTTATAGTAATAAGTATTCAAAAAGTTTCACAATCACTGGCTGCCTATTGTTAGTAAGGTTTTCCTTATAGGAAGGCATTAGTAACTAATGACTCAGGCACCATACATCACATGACTCAGGATTAAATCCATGACACAACAGTTTATAGGATTGTTATTCCTCCTTTGTTTCAAACACTTGTACATATGATTCAGAAGAAAGCAGTACCTGTTTAAAATATAATTATATTTTGCATTAAAAAACTAATTCAAATTATACTGGGATAATAATTCAAAATTATTTTTATTAAGATTTACAAAATATAAATGTGACCACATTTTGTTGTTTTCTTTTTCCTTTTTAAATTTTGATACAGGATCTCTCTATATAGCCGTACCTGTCCTGGAACTCACAATGTAGACCAGGCTGGCCTTGAACTCAGAGATCCATGTGCTTCTGCCTCCCAAGTGCTGGGATCAAAGGCTTGTGCCACCACACCTGGTCAGTGTGTTTTTTCCTTAAACGTAGAATCTCGTTCTTGTGGGGTCTCTTTTTCACAGGAACTCCTGGAAATGGGGATGGATTGTACTGTGTCCTACTAAGTAGACTTACTACATGTGCATGTACACAGGTAGAAGACAGACTGCACTTTGAAATGCAAAGCCACTTGTCAGACTTACTACATGTCCTACTAAGTAGACTTACTACATATATAGAGGTGGGTTACAACGAGCCACTTGCTTATCTTTGCATGGCTCTCAATGTTGGAATGAAGGAGAAAGTCACAGAGAAAGACGTTAAAGTATGTGATAGCCAGTATGGAAGAGATAATTGCCCTTACTGAAGTATATGAGACTGTAAAGTACTAGCCATTCTAAGTATGGTCCTGCATCATTTTCATTAGGACTTGTTAAAAATAACAATTCTTAAGGCTTCATTCTACACCTCCTTGATCATAGTCTGAGGGCAGGATTTAGAAACCAGTATCTTACATAAGAACCTTGGATGACTCTTATGTGCACTAATGTTTGTTCCAGGCAGGGTCTCACACCATAGCCTAGGCTGGTCTGCAACTCACAACTTAGCCATGCTGGTCTAGAGCGCATAGTGATCTGTGCCTGCTTTCGTCTCCCCAATCCTGAGATTATAGGTAGGGACAAACTTATTAATATTTTAGAATCCCTGTTGAGGTATGAGACTGGAGAAAAGGGCAGACATGAGAGGATCAACTCCATTTAAGAGGTAGAAGAAAGTAGAGAAGGTTCAGTAAACAAAAGGGTAAAGGTGCTTGCCACCCAGTGGGGTCACCTGAGTTTGCTCCCCAGAACCCACACAGGAAACCCACTATCAGAAAATGACAACTCCTGTCCTTTGTTCATCATACATCTCAGCACAGATACATGCACAGACATGACAGACACACAGACACACACAGACAAGACAGACACACATACAGATACAGACAGACAGACAGACAGACAGACACACACACGGTAGAAGAAAATGGATACCAGCTAAGCAGACTAAAGAGACATCTGAGTTACACAGTCAGAGTTATAATAGCCTCTTTGGAAAGCAAAATGAAATGATTTCTAGAATATCTATAACGTCATGTCTCAGGTAGATCAAATTTGATGGATACTAAGAACACTGGTGATTAGGAAGTTATTAGTGACCATGAGGGCAGGGCATAACTGATGGAGGATGAATATATAATATTAATATAGTAAATATATTTGAAGGGAGAACAAAAAGATACCGAAAACCCTCTGGTAAAAGGGATCAGTGAGAACCAGGCCAGATGATGCAGCTATAGTAAAATAAGTGGACACATGCTATAATTGGTTTTGGGAAGCC